CAGTGCCTGCCACATAATAGGTGTTCAAAAAATATTTGTGGATGAATGTATAGAACCCTATTATATGAAGGTCCTCTGTGTGTGCATGTCTGTCTATGTAACGTGAGTCTTAACAATGCTAATCTACTAGGAAATATAACAAGTAAATCATAGTATAAATCACATGTGGCCAGAACTAAGTGATGGGTCAGACCGTTAAGTATGAGTAGAAGTAGTGAGGATGACTTGGCAAAGTTTCTTGGAGAGGTGGAACTTGACTTGGGGTAGGATTTTTATGGGTGAAGAATGTTGCAAGGCACTCCAGGTTTTTAAAAAGACCTAAATAAGTCACAAAGATGATAATGTGCAGGGCATTTTCAGGCCTCGTTGGGTGGAGAGGTGTACTGGGGCCAACGTGAAAGTGAGTTTTGAGTCCAAGGCTGTGGAGTGAGCAGTTATCGTGAAAGACTGTTGAATGGAGTGATGAGATAACAGAAGTGCTATCTCATGAAAATCATCCTTTAGGAAGATGATAAAATTTGAATTAATGAGTTTAACACTTCAACTATAGAAACCCTAACATCTTTCGCATTCTAAATGCTTTATCACTATTATGCAACCTTATGCACACATTGTTGACTCACATTTTGCCTTTGTCTACTGAATTGTTGCTGCTAAGTCACATTTTGCTGTCTTCCATTCATTATATATATACACAACTTATCAGAAGCAATTAAATTTACAGAAAGAAAAATATGAGTCAACAATGTGTGCATAAACTGCATTAGTAGAAGTGTGGTGTATTATTTAGAATAAAGATGGCAAAAATATTTAACACAGTACCTGGCTCAAGGCTTTCAGTAAAGATTAGCTGTGTTGTTGCTATCACTATTATTTTTTATCACCATTAGTATTTTCGTTGTTGACATTGTTGCTAATGTAAGCTCCATGTTCAGGTTATGTGTCACATTCGAAATGTTAAAAATTTTGCCTTCATTGCCCCAGAGCACTTTTGGTGGAAGTTAGGGCAAGACCTCTGGCTGAAAATTTCCAGAAAAATCTGGAAATGTGGAACTGGAGTTTGAAAATATCATCATGATTATTACCATCGTGGTCATTAGCACTTTAGACTCTCTCTACACTTTAAAATTTACCAAGTAATTTCATGTTCATGAGCTCATTTTTATTTTCACACTAACTCTGGAGAATAAATACTATAGCCCCATTTTATAGATGGGAAAATTAGGTATCTAGAGCAGAGTGTCCAATAGAAATAGAATGTGAGCCACATATGTAGTGAAAAAAATCTCTGGTAGCCACATTAGAAAAGCAAAAAGAAATAGTTAAAATCAATTCTAATAATACATTTTATTTAACCCAGTATATTCAAAATATTATCATTCCAACATGTAATCAACATGAAAATTATCAAAAGAGATAATTCACATTCTTTTCTCGTTTGTTTTGTGCTAAGACTTTGAAATCCAATGAGTGTCTTACATTCACATGTCAATTTGGACTAACCACATTCAAGTTCTCAGTTGCCATAGGTGGCTAGAGGCTACTGACTTGGACAGCGCAGGTCTAGAGGATGCAGTGGAAATGTAAAGAAGTACCCCAAATAGTCAGAATAGTGCCCACAACTCAGAGAATCATAAAGACAATTAGAAAGACCTTTGCTCCTGATCTATGCTTGTAACCTAGAATAACCATAAAAATGAAACAAACCAGCCAAAAAGAAAATGACTTTGTGCCATTCAATCCAAACGTGTTCCAGTGTCATACATATTTTATTTTTTTTAAAATGTGAGGACAAGTGTGGGAAAGAAACAGTCTGAGCCCTTTCTAGCAAAATGTCTGCAATAGAGAAATTGGAGTCTGTTGTGCTTCTCATAACCGTGAGACAGAATCAGAACCCACATTATTTCAGACTTTTTCAGAGTGTGATGATATTTTAGGTAGCAGAATCTGACTAATGAGGAGGGACTTAAATTTATGTAGTAACATCCTCTAAAGACGAGTCTCAAATCAACCAAATGCTGTCTGCCTTTAATCAGAGGTAGCCCTCACTCACTGTCAATAATACAGGTATGTGATTGTACATTCAAACAGCCTGTGTGCATTGCAGTGAGAATTTCATAGAAATATGTACATTTTCAGACTGAATGAAAAATGATATATATCCAATTGTCAGGATTTAGTTATAATTTAATTGGAACTGATGATGAGGTATCAGGCTTTTATTATCAAAATATTAATGCAAATATTTAAATTGTTCAGAAACAGAGATTCTCCCAAGAGCTTTATTTGGGGCCCTTTACTGGAACCAATATTCTTCAAACCCCAAAGGAAGGCTGAGGGAGGGCCCCAGAGGATGTAGTCTCCAATGGGCCTCATGCTGCCGTGAGAAAAATACCAAAGTTGCCAAGACATTTTGGTCATTTGGCACTCACACTACACTCCTATCTGGGCCATTTTCATTTTTACTTCATGCCTGGCTTCCAGAACCACCAAGAACATATTAAAATATATACCTAAGAAAGGGACTATAGATGCCCTTAGCAGCTTAGGAGATAAAGTCAGTATGAAATGAATAAAGAGCTGATTGCTGGAAAATGTGCTTTTGAATACCTGTGTGTTCACTCATCCCATCAACAATTTATTACTTAAAGAGAACTTCCATAGTTAGGGTAAATCTTAATCTTAGATTTTTAGGGCACTCATCTTTACACTTTCAGGTCTTTTATAAATTAAAATAAAATAGAGAGTATAATGGGTCTCTGCCCAGGGGAAAAAAAATCATATACACACAAAATCTCACACATGATTTAAAGCATTTCAGTGCTAGAATCCCTCCACTGCCCTCCCCAAATCTGGTTTGAACTCTAGGCGTAGAGTCACTTACCATAATGTGTTGGCTGGATTTATTCGGCAGAATGAGAACCATTGATCAGAGCGCACTTAGATTTGACTGCTTTCCCAATTATGAATTGTAATTACATAGGATGTAAACACGAGTTTAAGTGGTTGTAAAACTGCTCCAATACTTGTCACACTATTAATTTAATAAACTAAATATTTAGCTGGGGTCTTCATAATTAGGGATCAACTGACTGAAGGATTCTTGCGAATGTCGTCATCCTGTATTTGGATCCACCTGTTTTTCCCCAAAGGGAGAGAAAAAGAGACGGAGAGTGATGACACTAATGTCTGCCCTTAGGTGTTGATCACACCATGAAAGCCAAAACAATTACTCAGGGCTTCGTGGGAGGCATAACTGGTATACGGCAAAACGCTATTTCCTTGGAGAATGTTTCCTTGCCTTGTTTCACACTGGCAGAGGGAAAACCATTCCCCGACAGGAGCGGCCCTCCTTCAGAGCGCAAATACAAACGAACAAAAATGACATTATGTTCTCGCCTGCCTGGGGCAAAAAGAATTGCCTATTCTTAACAGGAATTCAGGTGTGTGATTTTCTGTCATTTTCCTTCTTTTATTAGATTAGAATGACTGCCCCCTGTAAGAACAAGCTGCCATGTGGTCCTACCAGGGTGGCGTGGCTGGAGGATACACACCATGGTACGTTACATCTTTAACGTAACTTGACACATTCTTGCCACGCAGGAATTTCAGAGTCTGTTCAGACAGAGGTAGGAGGGGTAGTAATTATTTTTTCTCTCTTCCAGTCAGTTTTTTTTTGCCCCCGTAGAATTCATAGTTCACTAATTAAATAATAGTTAAAAGTGACACCTCTGAAAAAATGAGACTAGGTTAAGAAAATGGGTATTACTTTTTACTTCCAATTCTCTGCAGTTTGCTTCAGCCAGCCTAGCTAAATCTTTAGTGTTAACATAATTAGGTCTCACAGAATAATGCCCGTTTTACCAGCTATCATTTCAGGTTAATAAAAACATGGCATAATTTTAAATGTTACTACTCCCTTTTAATTCATCCATCAATTACAAAACGCTCTTGGGTGACGGGAGAAGGTAGAGGGTAGATGGGGGATTCCAGCATTGGTTAAATGCTCCACTATATAAATCTAAATAAATCTAAACAACATCCCCTAAAATCTTTTAAGTTTTCTTGGTAGACTTTTTTCGGGACCTACTCTAAAAATGCCATTAGGGACAGAATTTTTCTGCCATACCAGATCTCAAATAACTCCATTCTTTTTCAATATTAATAGGTTTTTTTCACAGATGTTCTTTTCTCATTTCTAGTTAAATGCAATAATATGATTTATACAAGGGATATGTCTGTTTCTTAGTTATTTGATTCTTCAGATGCAAAATGAAGATGGTAATACGTGAGTCACACCTTACCAGGTGTTGTGAAGAGTAAAAGTTCCCTATGTTCCCAAGATTGTTGGCGAAAATCCAAAATATGATAGTTGGCTTTCTTAATTCTTTCTGACATCATATTATGTTTATGTGCAGTCTATGTTGGGAATTTGTTGGCATCTGTTTTAGGTAACCACAGGGAAAAGCTTTTAGTGTAATAAAAGTGAAAGTATACTTAAAAGCAAAAAATTCTTCTACATGGAAATGGTCAGAACTGTGGGACTATTTGTGCTGGATGAACATGCGATATTTCTTAGAATGAAAATTGCTCAGAATCTGGTCCTGATGTCCTGAGGCAAAGAAAGAATTGTTCACAACCAGACATTTGGATCAAAACTCTGGGGGTGCTCCTTATCTATACTTTTTATTCCTATATATCATTAAGCCTGTCCAATTGGATTTTCTAAAAGAAAAAAGTTCCTAGATTTTTTACCTGGTTATTCGTATTGTTCTAAGATGCAGTTTAGTCGCTGCCACCATTGCCATCCTTATTGATAAGAATAAAACGGATACTGATAGGAATAAAAATGGTGGGGAAAGAATTCTAGTTCAGATTTCCGAAGCTGAAGCTTTCAATTGCACCAGATCATAAATACAAAGAGTCCCATATGTAACAAATATATAGAACACGCAGTTCAAAGTTCCCGCATATTCTGTGCAACCCTGTGAGCGGAGAAACTGTTAAACAGGTATTTTATTTAGTATTTAACAACAGGTGAAGTGCAACAACCCATTTCCCATATAGCCCAGAGCATCCCATTTCAGAATACGGATCTTTACATTCCAGTAATACTGGATGATTGATGGCGGAGAGTGAAGGCAGTGGGACGAAAGATCTGATTTAAGGATTTCCTCGCAGCTGCCTCCAGACCACCCAAAACTTCTTATATTCCCGTAAGGCCACAGGTCCGAGAAAAGAGGAGGTGGGGTATTAACTACAGGAACCGTTGAACTGTGGCCCATATGCCTTCTCCCAACCCATACCTTTCTTTATGTTACCTGGGTGAGTGATTTCTGCCAAAGGTGATTTGACTCAGGGCACCTCATGCAGTGTTCACCTCCAGGCAGGGGCCAGGTCAAAAGTACCAGTGGCAGCCCACGTGCCATATGTCTAAATATTTAAAAGTTCTACATCAAGCTAACATAGCGTCAAATAAAATACGTTCCATGCTGCTACTTTGACATAAACGCTTTTTATAACAATTGGAAACCCAGGTGCAGATTCAGGATCCTTAGACTGCTCAGAGTTCTGTACTGGACCCTGGCTCTGAGGCTGCCCTAGCCTACTTCTCTCCCACCCCTTAGCCCCTACTTTTCCATCCCTGAGCTCTGGTTTTTCACTGCAAGGAGCCTCTTCTCACTCGTGTGTGAATTCCTCAGCTTACACTCCCAGGCCAGAGTCACTAATCTACCCACATATATTCACTCTTTGCCACCTCTCGTGCCCAGGGATGTGCACTAACGATGCTGCCCGCCTGCCTTCAGGAGTATGGACCCCCAGAAGAGGTGCACACTCACCCTAGAAGCGGATGGAGGACATCTGGGGAGGGAATTGAGGGAATTCTCGGTTCCTGGCTACTGAAACAAAGTGGGAGGAGGGTCAGAATGGGCCTCTCCAAGCAAGGGCCCCTCTTTGTTGGGACTAAAGTTCGCTGTCCAGGCTGTGTACAGGGTCAGAAATGAATCACTCCCACATCACTGCAGGGCAGTCTAATCACTTTCCTGTAAGTACCAACACTGTCTACATAGCTGAACCTTTGGACAAAGATTTCTTTGAAGTTTTATGCCCATTAATGGTGATGGAAAGAATCATATTTTACATTGTGGTAAAGTTGATAGATTAACTCATGTACATAAAGATATTAACCCACCTTAAGGGTTAATTTAATCCAAGTAGAGACTGAGCAAGAATTAGGACCTTAAGTACATGAATAATTTAGTACCCACTTTTCACCCCAATCCTGTTCTTAAGACAGAGTATTGTAGATGGAACCAGCTTTGCAAGAAATGCTGGAAAGCAGCAGATGACTAAAATCCACGAGTTGGGGTTTCTTCAAAGGAATACACCCTTAAGAAGAATTTGAGAATCCAAATTAAAAAACATTTCATTTCCATTTGTTATATACCTAAAAGTGAATTTTTATTAAAAGCAGATCACATCACTTCAGAAAATTCAGAAAACTATATCTAAATACACTGAATGCAAGATATTCCTCAACAATTTAGATTCTTATAGCTTCATAAAGATAAAATGCAGACGAACTGATTTAGATCAGGCCTTCATTAAATTTTGGAATTAGCTTTTGGAATCTCACTTATTGAAATGTGCAGTCTGATTCCTGAGCATTGTGACAAAGCCATGAGTGGATAATGATAAAGTGCATCGTTGCTAGAAATAACACAGTCTGCCTTTGGTTTGTGCTAATAAACTCTAAGACAACCTAAATTCCAACTTTAATATTAGAAATCCATCTTATTATAAGGAATCTCAAACTCTGTATGTTATCGGCATTTTTGTGTGTATTCTTTGGTGAGCCTGAAATATAATTTGCTGCTTATGCTTCTAATGTAAATCTCCAATTTCTGTTTGGCCACTCTGGGCACGAAGCCAGAGCTCTAATTTATTTCCATCTTTTCTTATTTCTTACATCAAAAGAGACTGGTTGGTTTGAATAACAAACATTCAATCGACTTAGACATGGGGTGGCAGGCAGCACAGACATTACCTGTTTACCTTTTATTGCCTTCTTTGAATTGGCTTTTCTGGGAACAAAACCAATAAGACACGCTGTTCCTTCATCTAGTTTTTACCCAGGTTATTTATCAGAAGACATTTCCCCCCCGTTTCAGCAAAGAGTGGCGGCGGGGTGAAGAATTCAGACTAGAAGTAGGCTTCCGACCTAATGCTGTCATAGGTTATTGCTCTACCAAGTCATGTAGGACTTGATTGTCCTTAAGACTCCGGCTTGGGCTGATAATTGTTTTTGATTCCAGGAGGTGCTGCTGCTCACATATCTGTAACCTGTAGGACAACAGTGTGCTGGGAATGGAATACACGCTGTTTTAGCCACTTTGAAACTTTGCACTGATTCTCCCCCACCCTCTTCCTCCTCCTCTTGCTGTCTTGCACAGCAATTGGCCTAATAAAAGGCAGAAACAAGGATTTATTACACCTTGGGCGTTACTTAAAACAAACTTTATTCTCGGGAACAGCAGTTGTGTCTACTTGCTGCTGTATATTTTGATATTTCCTCTAAATACTTAGTCTTAATGTATTCAAAGTCAAATCGCTAATCACTCAATTTCCCTGTGACTTTCCTGGTTTCCCCACGCTGCCTCTTATGATACTCCATGTAAACACTGTATTTGGAAAGATACATAGATCAGCATCCCTAGAGTCACATGATCACATCAATCTGTGAAAATAGCATGACTTAAAAATAAAAGTCTCTTAGTGCTCTGCCAACAGGCTTTGGCATAATCTTGGCAATCATTTAGATTATTATTATTATTTTTTGCTGTTATAATTTTTCCCAAGTGGAAATAGTCTCATATTTTGCAGAAGTTGTCCAAGCTAGTGAACATCAATCCATCTTCCTGGGTACTAAATTCGTCAGCTGAATGTATTCAGTCCACATAGAAATCAGTAAAGTGAGTGCGGAACGGCTTGGTGGCTGCTCCTTTCATCTTAAGAAATTGCAATACAAATTCCTGAAATCGTTTATGCAGGAATTTTTATTCTTTAAATCTTCCAGTGTTAAAGCAACAAGAAACACTTAGAATGTCCTTTGGTGGAATCTTATTACACTTGTTATATATGTAAACTGATATTCTTTGATGCCAGCACGTTCGTTGCCCTTACAGAGAAACCTCTGCACAATGAAACAAAACAGAACTAAAGAGGACAAAATAAAATGTCAGTCTTTGCTGAATCAAATTAGATACATTAACAGATTGTCTGGTAACACAAATTGGCAAGAATACAAAAAATCTACATATTACAGTATTTCAAGAAAAATAACTTCATTTGAATACAAAAGGATAGATACACTTTCTCTTTTCCTACAGCCACTCTTGGACAGTGGGTGTGTGCTCGCACTGGGTGACTCAGTGCTGCTAAGATATACGGGGTATGACTGGCTTGAGCTTTTGGAGGGGCTGTTACACATGTGCATTACTAACATCAGACAAAGAACTCTTTCAACCAACAAGGGTTACAGAGCAACGTTCACTAAAGCACAGGTTGGAAGGGATTCAGGGACCGAAGCAGGCCAATATGGCAGCTCGTAACAGATTTCCTTATACCCACAATGCACTGCCAGCAAAGAATGCTTCTGTTTGGTTGGTCCACACACTGGGCCGAGTGGTGCTGGGGCGCACCACGTGAGAGTAGCAAATGTTTTTAGGTTGGTTGGTTGGTTCGTTTGTTGCCTTTCCTGTTTGGGGGCTGTCACAGCCTTTCCAATCGGCAATAAACTCCGCAGCTGGCAATGTGATCTGCGGTGATAGCAACAGCTGCCAACTCCTCTGCAGTCAGAAATTAACAGTCTTGACTCGGATGTGCTGTCCACGGCTGATAAATATGGCTTAGTTCAGTTAGGCCTTCTTAGATTGTACTGTGTTTGAGTGGGGGTGTCTGAGTGTGTGTTTCCTATGTTAGTAGCAAATGCTTGGGTTGTGTTGACTTCCCCCCGGCGCAGGCCCGTCTGGTGGCTGGACGCGACACCTACAACACCAGGGGGCTGGCTGTCCCCAGCAGAGCGGTCAGCAGCAGCAGCGCCGGGGAGCCGTGCGGGGGCGCCCCCTGGCCCGAGTCGGAGCCGCAGCTGCCCGCCTCCTCGCACCGCAGCTTCTCGCACAGGATGCCCGTGTATGCGGCCGGGCACAGGCAGCGCACGTTGTTGTGGCACGTCCCTCCGTTCTGGCAGTGCAGGAGCTCGTTGTCGCAGACATTCGCTGCAGAACGAGGGGGAGGGTGGGGGGGGCGCGGGGAGGAGAAGCAGAATCAATTTAAGTTCATCTGGTACATCATGTTTTCAGCTTTAAAAACAACTCTATCGATCTTGCACTCCCCCCTCCCCTCCACAACCTAAGCATGTGACTCCGATTTCCAAACAAATGTAGTTTGCTGCCTTTGTTTTTATCATATTAGTCCTTTTCATACAGATTTTTGCTGCAATCTTGGATATTATCGTTGTCCATTTCAGGCTACAGAATACAAAGTAATGTAACACTCCTGGTATGGCAGTGTCTTCTCTTCATGGAACTGGGACCTGTTGTGACCTCCAGGGTTTTTGAAGGACAAGAGCCTGATAGAAGAATGCAGAGCTTTGAAGCTAGATGAATGGTAATTAAGATGCAAAGCAGTATTGCTAAAAAGACCAAGAACCTCTAAGGGATGGGCCATTCTCCCTGCAGGGGAGTTTAGGCACTGCATGCAGGAAGTCAGGGGCTAACAGGGAAGCATGAGGAGGGAGAGGATGGGATGGGGGCAGGTAGCATGATCCAGGCAGGCAGCAGCCAGATGGGAAGAGAGAAAGCTGTTTCATGGGAAGAGAGTGAGGAAGAGCAGTCACCTTTGCCCCTGACAGCCTATTAGGATATTTATTGCCTTGTAAATATGGGAAGTAGAGTCCAAGGTTACCTTGATTTCTGGGGATAATAATAAATGCAGTGGTGAAACCCTGATTACCAAAATTTCACTATGTCCATCAGTTAATGGAATCAGTTTGAATAAATCAAGCAAGCAATTCCAGATACTAAAATTCATTCACAGTTCCTGTCATGTAACTTTCGTCTCTAATAATTTCTTATTTCTTCAAAATTCTGGTTATTCTCATTAATTCCACGTCTCCTCTTCTTTTAGATAATCAAGGTTTCACTGATTTAGCAGAATGTTAAATAGAACCCAGGGAAATTAAAACAACAACAAAGAGTAAAAGAGCCAAGAAAACTTCTCAGCAACATATGCTGCTTAAGCATTTAATATATAGAGCCACTCTGGAATGGGGATGGGGGCAGAGCAGAAAAAGTAGCTTTTTATAAATTATAACATTTTTCATTTTTTTAAAATGTCATGGTCAGATTTCCCCAGGGGTATCACATGAATTAAACACACACACACACACACACACACACACACACACACACTTAATATTACTATCAAGTGCAAAGTATTTAAAAAAAATAACCCCCATCTCCCAAGTAATTCAATAGAGAATGTTGCCTTGTCCATTAATCATGTTCAGTAGTCATGTCACCTTCAAAAGAAGCTTCTTACGCACAAACATGCTAATGCTTTGTGTGCAAATGAGCTGAGAAAAGATGGTGGTGGATGCTCACAGAGTTAATAACAAAGTGCCCTAAACAAGGCCCTGTTTTACCACCTTCCACAACAATTCCTTGACGACCTCTAACACAGTTGCAGAATGTATGTATAATTTTCAAATGTACCCATACTTGCTATCTGTAAATGTCAGAAGTGATTTTTAAGGCCTACTAAATCCTTCAGGCTCAAAATATTGATATACAAGGTAGTGTTCTAGATGTTCTAATGATTGTATAAGCTACTTCTCATTGGGTGGCTTAGAAATCATGAATATTAGACCCAAATTATAGTATTTTATGAGTCATGTTAAAAATGTCAAGATCTGTAACTGTGAGGCAAAGTCTACAAGTGTAAAGTAGTTAAACTCATGATCAAAACTGACAAAAGCCCTCTTTATTTTGGTTGTTGTTAATATGGAAAGCATACATCCGTTTTCAGGGTTTTGTTTTGCTTACATTTCAGCAAATATCTGTTTAATTGGGGCAACATGGAATAAACAGATCCAAATAACTGTTTCCACTTAAAGATTCTCAGCATCTCTTGTTCCAGGGAGCAGATTGCTGAATGGGATATTTCCTTTCACTTGGACACTAGAGGTAGGGAAATATCTGTTCCATCAATATCGATAATTGCTTGCCTTGAATAATTGAGAAGAAATCAATAGTTAATTAAATATCACTCCCCTTAAAAAAAAAAAGCTATTTTTCTTCTTGGACCTGAATGTAAATCAGTTGCTCAATGGAAGTTTCTTTTTTTTCAAGAAGCTGGTGATTAAGTTACAATTCAATATCCTTCCTACATTTATATAATCTACTAGTTTGATGTTGATGATTGGGAGATACTTAATGAATATACAAGGAACAGATGTGACCCCAGGATTAATAATCTCATGGATTGGGGGAATATATTTTCTGTAAGAGATAAACAGAAAACAATGAAACCTAGAATGTATTTCATCACTTTAGAATTCATTATAAGACATATTACATTTGGTCTCTTGATTGTGCTGTTCAATAAATACAGAACTTTACCATATGCACAGGACTCTCTGTTGGAATTGTGCTAGAAGCTCATCTAAACCTAACTACAGATCTTACCTGCTATTCATAAATTTATCTTCATGTCATTTTGAATCAAATTTGTGGTGCTTAATGAATAAAGTAGGTGGTTAACAAATATCATTGAGCTCTTCTTCAGCATATGAAACTTTGTATTAAAGACCAGGAAGAAATAAAAGACATATAAAGCATGATCTCTGCTCTTATGGAGTTCAAGTCTGGTTGTGTGCATCATGCAGATATTGGTAGAAAGAGCATTATAGATGGCGAAACTGTCTGGGTTAAGGCAGCGAGACGTGAAAGTGCATTGTGCTGGTTATTAAGCAATTGTCTCTCAACTCTAAATCCACCCTTCTGATGGTGAGGCTGGAACCCTGAGAGTTGTCTCCTGGCTTCTACCAACAAGGAGCACTAGAGGGAGCAGAGAAGGTAGGAGGAAGGAAGAAGAGATTTCCTTTTACCTGTTTGATGTCTCTTCTTAACAGTACTGCCCCAGCAATGACCTTTCATCCCAATAGCAGCACGTGGTCCCAGTGCTCAGCTTTATTCAGAACTAGTTTCATCTCATCCTTAGAAGTTCCTGCACCAACCTGGCAGCATTCCTTCCCTAGAGGTTGCTCCAACCTCTAGCAGCAGCCAGGCGTTACCCCTCCTCAGAGGTGCAGGTCCCACGTCTGTGGGATCTCTCCTCCAAACTTTTAGTTTCTAATAACCCCATCCTCTTTTTGTAATCTCTCAGCCCAAGAGTGATAGCTGCTCCCTGCTTACACAGTTACTATCTCTGAGTTACTTCAGTGTCCTCTTTTCATCTTTAAATTCTAAAACACCTGTTTAACCATTTCCTTAAATTCTTTTTGTAAAATAACTAGTATGGTTTCAGGTTTCTGACTAGAGTGAGACCTGACCTGAGTGAGAAACGCATGGAACATGTTAGTGAATGATGAGCGGACTGGTGTAGCTAGAATGTTGGATGTGCATAGGGAAAAATGGAGACTAGAAAGGTAGGTTGTGGCCTGGTTGTGAAGGTTTTACGTAACACACTACAGAGTCTAGATAACAGGCAATAGGAAGCTGTCAAAGACATATGAGCAAGGTGATGTTTTAAAGGGGAGAAAGAAAAAGGTGAGACTAGACCAGAGAAAGGACAGATTGGAGGTAAGGAGACCAGATACTTCAACAGAATGGGCTTGGTATGAGTTAGAGCAGTGGGGAGAGAGAAGCAGCGACACATTTGGAGACTGGTTGCTTGAAACGCGCAAGAGAGATTCTGAGTTTCCTGTTTTTCATATTTGGATGCATCATAATGTAATTTATTAAGAAAAGAAGATTGGGGGAAGAGTTTGGTCAGGGAAGAAAGTGAACTTTTTTTTTGGACCTGTTGACTTTGAGAGGTCTATAGGCTCTTCTGCAGGTCTTGTTATTAGTTGGAGACAATAGTTAAGGGTTCAGGAGATCGGACATCCTGGAGATATAGATTTGGAGAAGAGGTGATGGTGGTCATTACAAAGTGTGAAGTGAAAGGCATAGAAGACCTTATTCTGGTAGAATATAGATTAAGCAGAAATGAAGACTGCAGACAGAACACTGAAGAACATCAGCATTTAAGCCATAGGAAGAGCAAGAAAGACCATGAATGATGCTGAGAAGAAAAAATGTCAACAAAATGCAGTGATAATATTCAGGTATAAAAGTAATAATAGAAGTCTTTCTGCTGTATTTGACTGTATCTAGGAATAAATAGACAGACTGGAAGACTATGAGAGGAAGGGGACTTTGAGTTGGATAAAGGAAATAAGCAAAATAAGTATTGCATCTTCCTGATTGAATCTGACGGAAGGGATTTTGGAATAATTAGAAAAAGGATTGGAGAAATTTGAGGAATTAACATTTAATAGAGGTCTTTGGTTGTCAGTCAAAAGTAGTGGTTTTATCTCCCAGGGGACATTTGACAATGTTTGGAGACATGTTTGATTGTCACACCTCAGGGAAGGGCATGCTAATGGCTTCTAGTGGGTAGAGGCCAGAGATGCTAAATATCCCGCAGTGCACAGGACAGCCCCCCACAACAAACAATTACTCTTCAATTAGTGTTGGTGGTAAAATGATGAAGGCCTGGATCAGGGTGTCAGCCATAGAAATGAAGATGAGCAGTTGTCCTTATGTATATTGGTGAAAGGAGAATGAAGACGCCTTGGCGATTCTAGATCAGAGAGAAACAGTGAGTTTTCTGGTGCAGAGCCATGGGAGTTGGAGGTGACTGTAAGTACCTGAAGTTGAAATATAAAAGTGGATTATCTTTTTGGGGGAGTAAATACAGAAGATTGGGATCTAAAGCAGACTCTTCAGTACTGCTCACAATTAAAGGATAAGAGAGGAATCAAAATCACCCTTGTCATGTAATTTGTTCTACCTTGCTCTGATAGAAACAGTAAAATCAGAGCTTTGGAAACTTGAGAAACTATCTAGATAAGCTCTAGATGAGTAAACTGAAAGCAATTTAGGGTAGAACTAGAACTAGAATCCAGGTCTCCCAATTTACAGATTCCTGCTCTTCACAAAGAAAAGAACAG